TCTACCTTAATTAAACCCCTAACTGCAAATGTAATCACAGGTGGTGTTTACCCAGGCCTCTTGTGTCACATCCGCAGAACATTTTAATAAAACATTTCTGTTTCCAGCTATTTAACCCTGGAAAGATTTCAAGGAAAGGTGACTAGAACAATACCCAGTCTCCTAGGAATGTCTTCCAAAGTCATGTTAATTGTCTGGTTTGGAGCAAAGGAGACTGGGAGAGGATTTGATTAATGTATTTAAAGCTGTTGACAAACGTCATCTTAAGGGCCACACAGGCTCAATAGCAGTGTTCCATACAGAAGGCCAATGGACTGCATTCACAGCCCCTTGCCTGTGGTGCATGTGATTCCTCATTCCCAAGATTTCTGGGGAAACTGGTCTCCATTAGTACCCCTGGGTGCTCAGGCCCGGGCCATCAGTGACTGTTAAATTGTTCTTCCATCTCACAGGACAGCGACTTGTTTAAAGACTTTGTCCCCCGGCTAAGGGTGAAGAGGACATTTTGCTGCAAAGCACACACAGTGTACTGTAATAGCCTGGCAGCAGCTTGCGCATTGACTGCCAACTGCCTGCCCTTGACTTTGAGCGTGTGACCTGAAGCTGGGTGGCACAGGGCCGTTCTGGTATGTAGTACCTGGCTCTGGGCATGGAAAATATTTCCACCTCATGTGGTTTAACCTTGCAATTTTTTTTTTTGCGCCCAGAAGATTGAACTCATTGAGAGGTACTGTACTGCGTGAATAAAGGGGTACGCCAGTTTAAGGCAGAAACAATGTTAACTTTTATGCAACCTGAGCTAATACGGTCGCTGAAATTAATTTATTACCGTGAAAAAAGCCGTAATCTTTCGGCGGCTACAGACAGAGAACAAACTGCAAGGCGGTGTCTTAATACTTAAGAATGCAAACCTACACCAAATAATACAGCTTTCTTTTGAAAATGTCCCAAAGGGTATAAAGCAGATAAACCACGAGTCATCAGAATGTATCTTTACAGCTTTTTTTTTACTCCCTGGCGGAAACGGGCTTGCATAGGGCTGTCAGGTACTGCATCTTTTCTCTATAAAACTTATATATTCAAGTGTTTGGCACAAAGACATGGAGCACATTGCTGTAAACTCTGTTGAAACTATTAATTTCAACCTATTAATAGCGTTATAGACACATACTGTAGGTAATTCTGGATTTTAAATATACGTGGAGATTTGAAAAGTTCACTGTTGTTGATTCACCACTTCTAAATTCCAAAAATAGTGCTGCACCTGCCGTAATTGTCACTTTAATAACTTTTAAATCAGGAGTCATTACTGAAATAATTTTCCACGCCGTTTTAACATACAGTATGGCATGAACAGGATTTCAGTCCGAAAGCGCTGAGCTGACTGTCTTCCAAAACATGCATTTCGATAGCCTTGAACTTAAAACTCACTTGTTGAATTTCTACACCTGAACGCCACTTACTATATATTTATCACATCGTCCAGCCTCATTCAACTTCATTATAAGGCAGCAGCTGTAAAACCGCTCAGCGTTAAAGCCTCCTAGCTTCTCATTGGTTGTTCAGGCAGATGGTGACACCTGTTTTATTTATAATTAACTGGCCGCTACGCAATATTATAATAACTTTCCATAACCCGCTAGTAAAATAGCACGTAGTCAGCGCTCTGACTGCTAGAGCAGTGCTCAAGACCAAAGGTAAAATTATCTTTCTCTGATCATAATTGCAATTAGAAATCAGGCTGATTTAATACTCACTGGAAGGCAAATAGGCTTTATTGTACTAATTTCCACGAAGTCTACAAGAAAAGAGGTGTCGACACAATTAATACTAGAAATCTATATCGATCAAACATTTTATAAGAAAAAGGATTCCTTGAAGCCAAAACATATTATTTTAAAATTAACATTTAAATCTATTGGTCCAATTACTTACAATACTTCGCATGAATATATCGGGACCAATTTCGAGGCTGTCGTGCAGGAGCAAACTTTTTACCAGTACGAACTCAGAGTATATGCTCAGAGCAGAATGGTTTGTTTATTTGGGATTAAGTGATGATGCAATGACTACTATGCATTTTAAAGGAAGATATGCAGGACATTGAATATTCTCAATGAGCAGTGGCCTGTTTTTACATTTATTTATGTGCTACAATTCTCGCAATTTGCTGCTATCAAAGTCAATTTTCGTGCTCTTTTACATAGTCGTCAGGTATCACCTGGTTCTGATAAACATTTCTGCTTTCTGCCGCACAGTGAATCTGGATATAATACAGGGAAATTCCAGAATTGCCGTTGTTTTTGTCAAACCGCAATCGTCAGTATCTTTGCAGGGCTTTTACTGTATGTTGTTGAATTTTCGGATGAATCACGTCATTAAAAAGGGAGGTGTATTAATTTATTTGGCCTAGTTTTCAGGAACGTTGCTGCAGAATCCAAATTGATTTTTGTTGATTTTCAAAAGCAGTTGATTTACACTCCAGGAACTGTACTTAATTAAATAATCATGTGCTGTCTTGGCTGTTTCAGACCTTTCCAGCCAGTCTTATTTTAGTAACAGTTGTTGTATCCTGCTTGCTATGTGATAGCCATCGCGCTGTTTTAAAGAAACAAGTTCTTTAATTTATAATATTGTTATTCGATAGCGTTCTGCTGGAACTAGAATGCTGAGATATACCGTATATAAACCGTATATATACCGTATATGTACTGACATTGCGAGAGTCTGTTAGGGGGAAAGGTGGTGGTTGTGGGCATGGGATGTTTTTCTTTCTTAGACAGAAGAATGATCATGCTCTAAACGCACATATTTCAGACTCGCAATGTATTATGCAGATCTTCCATTTCGGCCGTCATCACCAGGGCGGCGGTTTCACACAATTGAATGCGATTTGTTTCGTTATTGTTATTGCCTGTTTTATAAATTTAACATCTCATCATCGCAGATTAGATAGCCTAAAGCAGTGGACAGTTTATTTTTTGTAGGAAACTTTAGATGTCAAGGAGTGGAAGCGCTGAAACTACATTTATCCTCCGGGGGGGGGGGAACGTGTAGGGTTCAAACTTTTTTGCTTCCTTCCTTGGCTTATAGAGTTCGGAGCTCTTGCATGCTTTTGTGGGTGAAATTGATTCTGGAGATTTGCCACGAACCGGCATGCCTTTTAACTCATGTTAAACTAACTTTTTACAAAGACCGTATGGGTTAGAAAGTGTTCCTGCATCTGGAGTCTGGGGAAGGAGCACTGATCTCAGCAGGCATGCTGTGGACAGGCATGAACACCATGGTTCTAGAATGGAATTGGAATGTGAATGACGTGAGGTGACTGGAGCGTTCTTGCCTGTTCTCCGTCCCTAGATGCTGTGCTCTTGGGCCGCGCTCCGTGGCCTTCAGCGATTTTCCTGGAGAAGTGTGGCCACCTCCAGCTGTGTACAGGCAGCCCATGGGAAAGGTAGGGATTGTCAACTTTCAATAGGCAGTCTTCTTCCAAGAGACGTTGAAAGAAAAAATAAGAAAACAAGGGCGAGATTTGGCACTTGCTCAAAACCCATCTCTGTAAAGATACGAGTCCATCAAGTCCTGTACTGTACGGTATATCGCTCTAAATTAATCGGCTTGCAAAGACATTGAACACAGATTTTGATTAATTTAGGAAGTTGTTCAGTTAGGTTGGGCAAACATATGTCCTTTGGAGACGTATGGGTGTTTGGATATTTATTTGAAATTATCTTAAAACTAATTAACTGACCACCTCACTCAAATCATCGCTCATGTAATTGGTAGTTTCTGAGCGACGTACTGTATCAAACCACCGTGCTTTTTATTATTTTTGACCAAATCTCTTTCACTTTATATGTGGGGGAGCATGGATTTTAAAGAAACAATTGTGGGTCATGAGCATAAAAATGAATCCCAATTTTCTATATCAAGAAGTTTAAAGCTAAGCAGCCATATCGCCCTGTGACTCACAACTGACAACCCACTGAAGCTCAGCAGGCTTGAGCCTGGTCAGTACCTGGATGGGAGACCTCCTGGGACAAAAGATTGCTGTTGGAAGAAGTGGTAGGGGGGTGCTCACCCAGCAGTCTGTGTGGGTCTTAATGCTCCAATATACTGATGGGGACACTGTACTGTAAAAAGGTGCTGTCCTTCAGATGAGACGTGAAACCAAGGTCCTGACTCTCTATGGTCATTAAAATGGTGTTTCTTGAACAGAGCAGGGGTGTTACCCTGGTGTCCTGCCCAAATTTCCCATTGGCCTTTACCAATCATGGCCTCCTAATAATCCCCATCTATAATTGGGCTTCATCACTCTGTTCTCCTTCTCACTGAGAGCTGGTGTGTGGTGAGTGTACTGGCGCACTATGGCTGCCGTCACATCATCCAGGTGGGGCTACACACCGGTGGTGGTGGAGGAGAGTCCCCATTACCTGTAAAGCGCTTTGAGTGGAGTGTCCAGAATTATAATTAAGATTCACCCAAAACAAATTTGGCAAATAGCAGGTTTAAGTACAATTATTTCGGTTATATCCTCAGTTACATCAAAAAGATGTTAATGTAAAAATGTATTGATCTTTTAAAACCATGTGAAATAATAATGTGGCAGTTTCCACTGTTGGGTTACAGAATGCCTGTCTTCAATTTAGTATTCTCTAGGATTTAGACAAAGATTTACATATCAAAGGGATATAAGGTAGTTGGTAAATGCTCATAGGGATTCTGGTTAAGTCCTCTGTTTCTCTTTGGGATCAATTCAATAACTTGATGGGGTTTTTTCTGACAAAGAGCAAAGACGCAATATACACTGTTTAATTTCTGTGAAAAAAACATTTAAGTCTTTGAAATGGCAAAGGTGTACCCGGATCAAAGCGATTCAAATGGCAGCATTACGTTGATATTTCTCTTAAACGTATTTATTTTGCAGGCTACCTAAACGAGTGTGACTCACATAATTGCAGATTTACACAACAGACAACCTAATACGGCAAAGTCAGAAGTAAATCACAAACTTCCAGTCCATCGGTATAAATAATCGCATGCAGAAGCAGAAAGGTGGGGGTGGTTGTCCCTGGGCTAATTACAATGCAGGTTTTGAGAGAGGGATAAGTCAACAGTGTAAAGTGCAATACAGATAAGTGTGTATGCAGGGGACATAGTGTGTAGTGCAAAAAATGGAACAAGTACTGTCAGGAAAAAAAGAGGGGCTATTCATTCCAACTGTGGGGTTGCCTTTGTGCAGCTGCTTTATTTAGAAACAATGACTGTGGATGTAGAGGTTAAGTGGGGGGTGGCTGGCCTTCCAAGAACTGTAGAGGGAGAGGTGGGGTGTATAGAAGGACAGAGTTTAGATGCAGCGGAGCAGGAGAGTGAATAAACATCTGAGTTCTGAATCGGATGCAAGCAGCAATAGAGGAGCCAATGAAGAGAGCAGAACAGTGGGGTCATGATGAGGGAACAGGGTGCGCAGCCGAGCTTTGGATGAGCTGGATTGGACAACTGGCAGAATCCTGGAGTTACACTAATTGAGCGTTGAAGTGTTGCAGGTGGAACAGGAGCTTTACATGTAAGAGCAATAAAGTGCCTATTGGTAATCGGAAGTCCTACTTGCAGTTCCTCCCGGTTGATGATTTGAAAATCATGTGTCGGCTAGCAGCCATGTCGCCCTGTAACACAACTGACAACTGGCAACCCACTGAAGCTCAGCAGGTGTGAGCCTGCTCAGTACCTGGATGGGAGACCTCCTGGGAAAAACTAAGGTTGCTGCTGGAAGAGGTGTTAGTGGGGCCAGCAGGGGGCGCTCACCCTGCGGTCTGTGTGAGTTCAAATGTCCCAGTACAGTGACGGGGACACTGTACTGTAAAAAGGCTCTGTCCTTCAGATGAAATGTAAACCTGACGTCCTGTCTGTGATCATTAAAAATCCCAGGGCATTTCTTACCCTGGCGTCCTGGCCAAATTGCCATTGGCCTTTACCAATCATGGCCTCCTACTAATCCCCATGTATGAATTGGCTTCATCACTCTGTTCTCCTCTTGATGTAAAACCCATACCTGTATGGGAAATGCAGACAAACTCTCTTTATCTGAAAGTCATTAAGAAATTCATGCTTTTGTTTCCCGTTTTCCGGTCCAGATGTCACCACCCCTGTCCTTGACTGTACCCAGCCTCAGTACAACAACCGCCTTGACACTCCCTTGCCGGATGTCCCCTTCGTCCGGACGCTCAACGTGGAGCAGAAGAAACTCAAGGAGAAAGAGAAGGGGCCGTGGACCCAACTCACCAAAGAAGAGAAGCTTGCATGTACAGTAAACAGTCTTCTGCTTTTTTTACTTTTCTACTGGCTCGTCCACATGAGACCTCCTTGAGCTTAGCTCTCGCAACGTCTATCTTCTCAGTATAGACTGTGATCAGCCTCTGATGGGGAAAGATGGCAAAGGGCCTTTTTGCATTGGTCATCACTAATTGTGCCACTGCGGTGCATGAGATTAATTTGAATTTGACTTAATATTGGTAACGAATTAAGCATATGTTTCTAAAACATTCTCAGTTTCATTTAATTGAATAAGAGGTGTAGCTACAGTGTAGGTCACCGGAAAATCTGGCAACTTTAGTGAATTGGTCTTGGTTCAGGAAGATGGGATGGACTCAAATGGAGGTGGGGGGTGAGAATCACTGCCTGACCCCACAAAAAAAGTGGAAAGACTGACTATGTAACAGGGTATCTTGGTGAAAGCTCCCATCTTTTGATCTTGAGCAGAACCATGTGTTTTTAAGTTTGCTGAACTGGATTATGATGCATTAAGTTGTTTTGGATGTGTACCACTGCTCCTGAAGGCTGAAGACTTTTACTATTTGCACAGAATAAGTCCTTAAATAGCTGTTTGTTGCTCCATATGGGGAAACTGACACATTTTCATTATTAATGGAGGAGAGATGGACATGTTTTCGTTGCTTACTAGGTAACATGCTTTATTTCTGAAACCTCAGACTGGCGTTTCTGGGCCATTGTAAGTTTCTTAGCCTGCAGAATCCTTTGAAGGATTGGAATCTTCATAGCAAATACTTTATACTCCACATCTAAAAATGCTGTACAATGCACAACAAATTGTACATAGTACAACTTTTAGTGAAATATGTAATTTTACAATCCCCTTACCACAGTAGTTTAGTGAGATAGGGTGGGGAAAAAAAGGGATACTCTGAAAGATAGATTAAATGCTCTCAAACAGAAAAATGTCTACAGTTATTAAATTTACAAGGCTAGCGTCTTCAAAAAGTGATGATCGTAATTCATACGGAAACCATCTTAATTCTTAATTTTTTTTCTGTCGTAACTTTTCATGGTGAAATGGTCCAATTCATAGATTGCCGGAAAAAGATACCCAGTGTAGATACACCAACTTGCCACATGGTGGCAATATTATACCGCTAGACTAAAATAAAGGAAACATTAACTTCATGAAGACTTCTAGTTTTTGCAATTTCTGCCAAAGGTAAATTTAAATAAATTGCTAAGAATTAGTCATTTTTACAAGTAAATGTTTTATACTTACATGAGTGTCTAAAATGTGGGTTGGAATATGTTTTATTAATAAGAAAATTACATAAGCCTTTGTCGAGTGACATTTCCACTTAGCAAAAGTGCGACGGATTAAAATCCTTAGCAACATGTTCCATTCTGTACAGCTGCAGTGTGGGTTTTGTCTTACTAATTGCAATATGTTTTTTGACTCAAGTTTGTTTTTTCAGTACTGGCAAAAAATCTCCTTGCCTTTCCAAGGTGTACTACAACCTCTAACAATTTTCAGATAAGGTTTGTCAGTTGAAATTACACCAGTGACCTCAAAACAATTTTTCCAGCTCCCCTCTCTGGATTTCTGCCCATAATTAACATCCAGAAGGTATTCTATTACCGTACTATCACAACAGTTTATTATGAGCTGCCTATTGCTCATCCTCTGGAATCTCTCTGTGTATGAACACTGAGCAAAAAGTGTCTGTTCCTTCTGATGGTGATAATTCTCCAAGGCGATTCCATAAACGAAGGGAACAATGGTATTTTCTTACACCTAAACCATCCTTTGTAATGTCATATGTGTATGTAGTTAATGTAGCATCTTAACAAAGGGACACAATTCCAGCAGGAATTCATTTGATGTATTAAATACCTAATTGTGTTTCTCATTGTCATCTTGAAATACCGCTGCTTTCCAGCACTGAACACGGTGTCCTTTCTTTGTATTCTGATTCTTCTGCATCATTACCACATGTCTGGAGCCCAAATAGAAATAATTAGAATCGGCATCTTGTCAGGTATGTGATGTCATACTCAGTGTGCATTTAAGCCAAACCAAGACTGACTCCAGGTACTGCAGGCTTCTGTACATCGCCATTAAAAACAATACATTGAATTTGATTTATGAAAATAAAATTGGAGCAACTTAAATATTTTCCAAATTTATTTAAAAAGGAGCCAAATTCTTATCCCATAAATATCTGTAATATTTTACATTTGGAGGTACAAAATGGAGGGAGGGGGGGGGGAGTCTTCTCAAAGTGAAGTCTTTTCAAAAGGGATTTTCTGCTCGGCCGACAGGGAGATGGATATGGCCAATACATTTTAAATTTACTAAGCTGGGAGCTTGAAGCCTTTTCGTTTGAAAGACAGACTGCGTTAAGAACCTGTTGCTCATAAATATTGTATCGTGCGGAACAAAGCCAAAACAGAGCGAACCGTGGAAGAGGTAGAAGCACAATCGGTGGAAAAAGAAGCTGTCCAAACAAACATCACTCTCCTCTCGTTACTTCCTGTGCAGCAGTCCTCTTCAGCATGGTCTATTTTTACTCTCTCAATGGACTTCTGTCAGTGCTTCACCTGCCCACTACTGCAAACATTATAATGCACAGTCTTGTGCAGATTTCTCCATTAAGAACTCCTAAGACACTTCATTTAAGAGAAAAATCTTAAAACACTAATATACAGCATAAACCAATAATGCTCTCATCTCAAAAAGTCCCAAATTGGCATGCTGGATTTCAGTCCTGTATATTCCATTCTTCTTTGTGGTAAGAAGATAGTCATTTTTTCAGGCTTATAATGGGAAATGAAAGAAATATCTGATGTACTCTATGCTTGGATATACTGTAATGCAATACAATTGTAAAATATAAGAGGGGAAAAAATGTTTTACCATAATTTCATTATTGTGCTTGGAGCAGTATACTGAATCATTAGATCTGGGTGTGTAATTTTCTTTAATGGATATAATAGTATCTTAGTTGGATATAATAGCTTCTTTAATTAATGTAAAAGTAATTTTAAAAATGGGCATACTGTTTTTTATACCTTCTTGAGGTACACGTGGCTATATGTTTTGCATTTGCAATGAAAACATTCCCATTCTCCAAATTCGCCAAATTCGTATACCAATTTAGCTTTTAAGATTTCCCTTTGGTTCTCAAATTATGTTTTGAGCCTGCACCCCTTATCAAAACAATGTTGAATTGTTATAATTGGGGTATTTGATGATTTACCTTCTAAAATAAAATGGCAGATTTGACAAAACCAAAAAGGAACATATCCAATCTGAGCCAGAGGTTAAAAGCAGTTACGAATCACAATTAAAAAAAAAAAAAAAAAAATCTGTCAGTTTAGTAAAAAAGCCTGCTTTTTTTTTTTACTAATTTGTTACATTCCCAACCAGTTTAGCCCAACTACTGTAATTGTTACAAGACCGCTGTCTGTCAGTGACTCCTGAGCCTTTTTGGAATAGAAAGAGACAGACCTCCTTCTCTGACATGTCCACCTGTGGTGTCATTTATCGTTGCGCGCCTGCAGGCACCCGGACAGTCACGGAAGCTATGACCCAGGCTGGAACTCGTACTGTCCAGAAATAGTCTCGGGCTCCAGGCAGATCTCCTTCACCGGTCAGGTTACCGAGGTCTCCTGGGGTATCCCCTCCGGTTCTTGGACATCCTGTCTTCCTTCTTTTTCTGTCACTCCACAATGGGTTGAGTCAGAAACTTGGCCATTCAGCTTCTAGATTAGGGTGTTCTTCCCATTTCCAACATGGCATTTTTACCATTCAGAGTGAGTTTTACAATTCCCTGTGATTTCCACAGTGTATCGGCTGACCCACGAGCTGACCTTTGCCGAGATGAAGAGGAGCTCGAATGAGTGGAAGACGGTGGTTGGTGGAATTTTCTTCTTCGTTGGAATAACCGGGATCATTATCTGGTGGCAACGTCATCATGGTTTGTTTCTCTCTCCTTCTGCTCTTACGGTGCTGTTCTTGAGCTCATTAGCTTCATTTTTTTAGTTTCATTACTTAGTTCATTATAAAAAGGATGCCCGTTAAAAAAAAAAAAGTGATTTCCAATCATATGCTTCTAATTCTTCCCAGAAACTACTTTTTATCGTCAAAGATAAAATGAGAAATTCAGTTATTTTTACCATTCAAACTCTTAGCATAGAAGGTTTATCAGGTGTTTCCAGGAGATGGCCTCACTTTTGATGTGTTTATGTATAATTAACACATGTATATAGTTATTGTTTATGCTGGTGAATCAGCAGGGACTCTGTTAAGGTTGATAAATCAGTGCATTTTTCCCCACCCACAGCATAAACCAATATCAGCTTTAACTCTCTCTCAACCTTTGTTACTAAAGGTTTTGCAAACTAGATCCATACCATAATAATTGGACACATTGAGATAAAAGATAAGAGGCTTACATTAAGGCTGAGAGTTAGCATGACTCAGCTGTTAATTTGATCATTTTAATTACCACATGGTAATGGTGTAATATAATACCTCTATATGACTTGAATCCAAAGTCGTCTTCATTTATTATAGCCTTTATTGTTAACAGTTTCCCAGATCTTAAATACCTTGTTCTGTGATTTGTACAAAATTCCTAAAATGTGAATCATTGGTGGAACAACTCCCATCCGCTCCCTTCATCAGGAAATCAAGTGATGTAATCAGGTGTGTGCCAGTAATGAACGCATTGTATACCTTTAAAGGTTTTCACTGAGTTTGCAGGTAATATCCCAGTTTAGAAAGTGCTTTTTAATGCATTTTGACAGAACCCAGAAGCAGCCTTAACTATACTGCCTTTTAATGTTACCACTGGGAACAGAAAATCAGCTAAAATCAAAATGCTTATTTTACATGTTCATTCAGTCCAAATTGATGGCCTCTTCAGAAGTGTTGCATCGCAAAAGATGTCTTTTTAGAACTGGTTCATTTTACGTGAGGTGACAATGTGCAGATAACTTTTAGAGAACCCTGTTTGGAAATACCTAAATGCTACAGTGTAACAGCGATCATCACTGCCTGCTGTTTCCTTGCCTCCCAGTGTCATTCAGGCAGCACTGGTATATGTCAGTGTGGCACTATTTTAAAATCATCTCTTGGTTACCCCTCATCACTGGATATGGCCCATGGCGATACTGTATGATGACATGGACAGTCCTTTAACACAAATGCAGAATATCTTCTTTTGCCAGTCAGGTCAGCAGTAGGAGCAAACTTAGGACTAAAGGTGCCAAAGACCTCTAACAGTCCTACAGTATCTCCTAGTTTCTAGTCTTAGGCATACCTGTATTCCAAACTACGGTTCCACAGTTTCATTAGAAATTTTGCACACAAGATCGTTTTTGCTTTCTTTTGAGTAAATGATGAAACAAATTAGCTAACATGCCATTCACTTCGAACAAAGAGTTACCTCACTAGTTAATTTGGCAATCAGTTTGGGGAAGAGGACTGTGTGGGATTACTAAACAGCCAGCGTCAAGATGATTACACAGCTTTGTTAACTGCTGCGCTTTGAACAGCGTGACTGCTTTTCAGATCCTCTTGTATCGAAGATAGAAGAAACCTAATTTTCATAATGCCTTTTTTTTTCTTCCTTGAAACATCCTTGAGAGCCTGTGTTGGGCCTCGGCTGATTTGTATATATAAAAAATAAGCTTGCTATAGAAACATACAGACAAACAGGACTAATTTTCAAGTGAAATATCTCAAACAATGTTGGAATATACACAGAAACTAATCCAAAGATTCCATCTATTTGGAATATTTAAAAGTCAGCTGAATACTTCAATATTGTGCTATATTATTATATATTAGACTGTAATGTAGAATTTTGAACACTAAAACTGTTCTCGCTCTGGTTAGTATCAACACAACAACAAACAGCCATTCCAATTGGACACATTTGGAGGATAAAGATGTTCTTGAGCTACTCTGCATTATAGGCTTACCGGTATAACAGTGTGTTGTCACCAATTATTTTTCTGCCTCAATTGGCAGTGCACATCCCTGCCCTGTCATAAGAGAACCTAGCAACAGGTACTGTAAATATGCTTCTTCTGTGAGACATGTAGACGTGTGCTGTCAGGCCCTTTGCTTCTGTGCTCTCTGAGGTTACAGGCTGGAACAAAAGGAGCTCTCTGTCAAGTCCGTGAAACCTCACTTGCTTAAACAGGGGTGCAGATTGCAGAATGAGGCTGCACATCATGATGAACTCTCTTTGCTCCCATTTCAATTATTTTTGGTTTCTTGTTATCTAATAACTCATGAATGTGCAGCAACGTTTGGTCTAGCTCGGTAAAAAAAAAAAAGGTTTCTGTTTTCTTGATTCGCTCACTGTTTTTGATCACATACTGTAGGAAGCATAACGCTTTGTGAAGAGGTGGACTGGAAGTGAAAACTGTTATTTGCAAAGACGAAAAACTCCCTTCAATCTTCTGTAATCGGGGAATTTCCCATAATATCAAACTCATGTCTGGACCTGAAAAGGGAAAAAAAAAATGTTGTGTAGCTTTGGGCTACATTAGCTCCAGATCCATCTCATTACAGTAACAAAAGCTGGCTTTTTTTAACTTAGTTAGACTTTCAGTATGACTTGAGCGTTCACACTGCTGGAAGTAAAACTTTAACCTCTGAGCGGCTGCCTTAAAAGCAACAGGTTCCATTTTAAGTTTCTACTCTGCATCTAATTACCCCCAAAACAAAATGGAGAGAATAAAGTGTTCAGCATCTGAATGCTGTCTCATTATTTCAGCAGTCCAGGCCTGCAATGTTTGAAATGTAAAGCACTTTTGGAGGAATTTGTTGTGGCGTAACAATACAATGTTGTGGTAGGCCTGAGTTGGTTAAAAAGCCTTCTTTTTCATAGTACATTCACATAAAGTATTACACGTTTTGTAAGTTATGCTTAAATTCTTTTGTCACCTGACATAGGTGTGTTTCACATGGCTGAGCTGCTATTCCTGGTATGATTGACATCATTAACATGCTAACACCTGGTCTGCTTAACAATAACAACTGCATATAAAGTAATCAATCAAGATGGAATAAAGGTTATAAACCATGGTCAGCACCCCCTTAGTCCTATAGCACTGTATGTGGCGTATACTTGACAGAATGTCTGAAATAAAGATTGAACATTTCCATATATTCAATAGAAATGAAGACACACTGTATGTGTACAGTATAGTGCTGGGATATTTGCTGAACTTGTCATTTCCTTTCCCACTATTAACACACAAATCATAGGCTAACGTGAAGTTATTGTTACCAGGGTTTTTAGTAGTGGCACAAGCTATTCTTTCCCTCCATTTTCAACACACTTTATCAAGTATAGGGTAGCAGGGGAGCCAGAGCCTATCCTGGCAAGCAATGGGCACAAAGCAGGGTATATCCTGGGCAGGACAACAGTCCATTACAGGGCACACACAGACACACACTCATACCAGGGCTAATTTTCTTTGAAGCCAGTTAACCTACCAGTACCAGTCTTTGAACTGTGGGAGGAAACTGGAGCACCTGGAGGAAACCCACACAAACATGGGGAGAGCACAATGTTCATGTTGTAACCTCTGCACAAACCCGCACAGCGATCAGGTTTACTGTCCGTTTTTGTTTCTAACTCGGGTGTGAGTGGAATTCAGAAAATTCGTCGCTCCGTTTCTTTGTGTCTGTTAGCGTGGCAGTTATGATAACAGAAGCTGGTTTGCTGGGAACAGTTGCACAATTAACCGCCTTTAGAGGATGCAGGACAGCAGTTAACTATTTCACAGCAACCAGCAAGCGAGAGGCACCAGATGGGAGGAGAACTGTGGGGAATTATCGGTAGAAAGATCAGTTTATCAAAGCAGGAAGAAATGCTGGTAGGTGATACGATTTACAGTTACAGATTAGCTGCAGCAGGGTTATTAACGATGTGCAGTATCAGTTTTTTTTTAATATACTAAATATCTGCAGTACCCAAGTTAGTTTAAAGACATGCTCATCCTAGCAAATGGCATTTAAAGTCTTTTAATGACTCTTATCTGTGTCTCTACTGTGAATTAACCTTTATGTGTAATAGAGGATTACAGGATACAGTACATAGTATGCTGGATATTTGAGCCCCAAAGCATTACTAAAGGGTAACTTTGTTTTATTGTCAAGTAGTGGCACCAAAAAACAGCTGATTGGTTCAGCTGTTTTGTATGTGAGGCGTGCACAGGCCAACTCTCTCTCGCAATGTAAAATAGTCTTCAGTTCACTCCAACTCCAAAACAGGAGGTATTTTAGCCTGAGCAGAACAAGTCAAATCAGATTGCCTAGGCAGAACTAAAGAGCTTTCTTGTTTTCTTTAAGCATCTTTAAGAGTCTGGCGTTATTCTTTTGAAGCAAGCAGCTTTTAGCATTGTGGACACAACAGGCCCTTTTGTCTGTAGAAAATCGACTTGCGAATCCATGCTTTGCAAGAAAAAAAATAAAAATGCAGGTGATGTGACATTGCCTGTACATGTGACGTCGCGCATCTAATGACTGTTGATAAACTGTACAGAGAGCTTTGTTTTTTCATTTCTTGCAGTGTTTGGCGATGCCCCGCATACTCTGTCAGAAGAATGGATGGCCATGCAGTCCAAACGAATGATTGACATGAGAGTGAATCCGGTCTCTGGTTTCTCTTCTCACTGGGATTATGAGAAAAAACAATGGAAATAATAAGCATCCCAGGCCCAGCTTTATTCAGGTAATAGCTGGATAAGGAAGTATCATTTTTATAGCACAGTGCATTAAAACTATCTTCCCAGTCTCGATTGGCCATGTTCCTGGCATTCACACAATAAAATAAAAACTTTCAAACCGGTGTTATATTTTAAAAGTATGAATGATACTACCGAGATATGTGCAAATACCAGTGCTATCTGAATGAATGACGAGTTAACACAAATGTATTTCTTTTTTTAATTTACTTATCAGTTTATTTAGTAAAACGAAGAGATACAAGATGGAAACAAACCTGTGGAATATCGACAAAGCACTGCAAGTCTATCAGTTACTGAAGCATCAGCTATTCCACTTCTCAAAATGCCATTCTTCATCTGAATTCTACGCTTTAAATACTTACAGTTCACCACATTCAGATTAAACAGTAAAAATAAAAAATATATATATATAACACTTACTCAAATGCTATGAAGTGCTGTTTGGGTCTTTATTATAATCCCTGGAAACAGAATTCAGTCCACCCCAAGGTGTGATCAAATATTTACAAATCTTGTTTTAACAAACACAAACAGGATCTTTACAGGAAATACATCTCTCTTAAAGCTGAGCAAAAAGTGTCTCGTACGTTACAAAATCAACAATTGCTTCATTTTTTTGTTGCTGTTTTCTAAATGATTTTGGTAACAACATATACAGAGCCACTTGTTTTGTGTGTATAAATCCATGCTGTACCAATTTCGTTTTTTTCAAAGTAGAACTGACCACAAAATAATCCATTGTAATGACTGCAGCCAAGACAGTTAAAGCTATACGGGCAGATTTGCTCAGATTCTGTATATTGTTAAATACACTGACGCCTTTGTACAAAATAATATTCATATGGATAAGAATTAAAATTGAAAAGAATTGTGTTTTTAATACTAAGAAGCTATTACTTTTATTGGCTGTGGTGGCCAATATCTGAAAAAAAAATCAATCAATTTTTTAGTCCAACATTTTCATTTTAGTCTTGTAGAATGGGGGGAGCCTGGTCAGTACCTGGATGGGAGACCTCCTGGGAAAAACTAAGGTTGCCGCTGGAAGAGGTGTTAGTGGGGCCAGTAGGGGGCGCTCACCCTGCAGTCCATGTGGGTCCTAATGCCCCAGTAGAGTGACGGGGACACTATACTGTAAAAAGGCTCTGTCCTTCGGATGGGATCTAAAACTCATTAAAAATCCCAGGGCATTTCTCGAAAAGAGTAGGGGTGTTACCCTGGTGCCCTGGCCAAATTTCCCATTGGCCTTTACCAATCATAATAAACTCCTAATAAACCCCATCTGTGAACTGGCTTCATCACTCTTCTCTCCTCCCCACTCAGAACTGATGTGTAGGGAGTGTGCTTTGGCTGCCATCACATCATCCAGGTAGGTGCTGCACATTGGTGGGGGTGGAGGATTGTCCAGAAAAGCACTATATAAGTGTAAGAATTTCTTTCTTATAAAAAGCTTGTGTCCAACTAAAAAAAAGTAACTGAACTTCTCACCCACTGACTTACAATTTCTTTTAGTTGTTAAAAGCAGGGTTTGGTATAATTGTGAAAGTAACTTTCCCTCTGTAAATGGCTGTTAACATAGTTAATCCTCAAAATTTGACACTACCTAGTCAAACAGCTGAACAGATGTCATTTGGGAATTTGGGAACAAGAATACCCATCAATTATGTATAGACAGGTCAAAATGGCTCAGGTGAGAATTCTCTGTTAATTTGGATTATCAAAACTGTACAAGATAGCTACATAACTCTACTACTTCAAACTTGAAAAGCTTTAATGAGTTGTTTATAGTAACGTTTGTAACAGTCCCAGTAGGATTGCTTTAGTATCAGTGTAAAATGACTGGTTAGAATACATCTTTTTGATACCCTAATTAGGAATAACCATTCATACGCAATAACGAGTGTGTTTCTACAGTCTGACGTCACACATTTGAGAAGTTATCCTTCTTCTGTGCTTCCAAGCAGGGACATCAGAGTCCATCTTTCACTGGATAACAGGAAGTGTGCCCAGTGATACCACCCAGTCACGTGGGCTCCTGGCCAATGAGAGGAGGTGTTGTGCTGTGCCACCATGCCACCATGCCAAATAAACTCTCCGGGTTCTGGAGGGTCCTAGTGCCACTTGAGCTAGATACGGCCCCCGCTGGGCACTTTCAAAGTTGTCTTAAATGCTGATGCTTAAAGGGCATTTTACGTTAGTGGTCTTACTGGTTGTTGTATTTTCCTGGTAGCCACCTGTGTTTTGGAGGTACTGCCATAATCGTCTAATTATCTAGTGTAATCATTTTTTTTTCTTGAACATGGAATGTTCATAATACACATTCTAAAATCTCTGTCCATTGACGTTAACTTGGTCATTATTCATATTGGCCCTTGTAATGGGGCATGCAGATATTTAATAAGTAGTCTTCAATCAATAAGTAGTTGTTTGGCTGCAGACTGCAGCAAATCGTCACTGCTATTGCCCTCTCATAAAATGGACATCAGAACAAGAGAGGGATTGATTTCTCATGCAAATCTTGGACATTCTCTTTTTCCTACGCATCATTATAGCAAACCAGGGCTCTTTTGGGGGAAAAAAAAGAAAACCGTCCCTCACTTTCAGTCCTCTCATTCATCATTTGTGGTTTCGAAACCTAAAAAGTAAGCATGTGCTCTAAAGGAAGGGTATAAACAAATGTGTGAGAATCTGGAGAGCTTCCCAAAAGGAAAGGAAGTAATGAATTACTGACTGAAGTCTATAATTTTACATTGTTCCACCAGTATACAACAAGGGAGCCAAAGTGACTAAAATGTAAATCACATTGAAGATTGTTCTTAATCCACACTGGCAGTGCTCCCATTGTATGAATGTCACAAGATCTTTTATTTTTTGCTCAGATTGCGAAACATCACTGCAGCATTTAAAACTGCAATTACATGACAATACAGATGGGGCGAGCCAGCATAGTGAATCACATGTGGGTTTAAGACTTGGGGAGCTTTGGGAACAGGAGTCTTCTGGTGAAGTGAAGCGACCCTTTTGTATTGTAATCAAGCAGGCTTATGAATACATCTCTTAATCCAACAGATTTTTTTTTTTAATTCAGTATTTGTAAACTTTTGCGATACCATCAATAAATTTGTCACTGAAATTTAAGAATCAGTCTGAGAAACTGGGACTGCAGTTCCCTTTAAAATGTAATGTTCTACTTCATTTCTGAAAGAGCTGAGCAGAATCAGTGTTTTTAATCCTCGGTTTAGTGTAATTATAAAGACAAAGGAAAAAAAATCAATGTTATCTGTAAAGGACTTTTTAAGGGATACAGAAAAAAAATAATTCACAACTGTAGATCCTTGTCGATAGACATTTTGATTACAGAAAAGAGGCACAGGCTGCTTACGTTTTCAATGTGTGGATTTTGTACAAAACATAAAAACAAAACCTTTATCTAAAGCAAAGTGAAAAGATCTGACAGACTGAATATGGATAACTGAAAGGCAATTAGATAATTTGTTATTGGGAGGGTCTTGATTTTATGTGACTAGGAGACAAGTTGCTTAGATGCTACCTTAACTGATCACAGGTGATAACATTTTCTCTTCTCCTACCACTATTCTAGTAAATATAAAGACATTAATAGGTTCCATTTCCAAAAACATACAGTAATTGCATATTTAAATTGCTAGATTTACATACTGAAACACAGCCATTTTATGTTTTAAATATGTTTCAAAACAAAGATTTGAAAGACACTTTTTCCAGTTTGGAGAGATTGTTTTCCCTGGATCATAATGATTTTTCATTCATCGCCGTCAATGAGATTTTATATAGTTTTTCATAACACCAATTTCACATTGTTTGGAAGAATAGGTTTTGTTTCACCAAAATACACAAAGCTATTAGCTTATAAAAGTGGATAAATAAAGGAAAATATAACAACAACAACAACAACAACAACAGTAACAACAACTCCAATAGTTTTCAACTGGTAAGTGCTATAATTAGAAGGACAAGACAAAGGAACAGCGAAATGAGAAGGCGGGGTTCTTTAGTTTGTAACCAAGAGGCAACACGATAAAAATAATTGTAATTTTATACAGAGGATAAAAATGGGACATGTACAATGATGATCGAAAGATTGAAAAACTAATATTTTGAACTTAAGTCTACTGTACAGTAAAAAAAAATAAAATACAGGAATATGAATATAATACATGTTAATTACTCCATGAAACTGATTACAATGATCTATATTAGTTGCGAAAGGAATCACTTGTGCCATAAAACCAACCCTTTTGGTATTACATTTTTTACTCCTCTTTTTTTCCATCGGTCTAGGCTGAAGTGTAAAACAGAGGATTTGTAACGCTTGCAAATATTTTCCCAATGAGAAAGCTTGCCCTAGCAATGTGGCCAGGTTCCCTGGATTTTTGGAAATTAAAACCTTCTATAGGGAATCTTTTTTTATTGGCCTATCATTTTATTGGCTTTAGAGGAAACGGGTGTGTATTTGTCAACATCTTCTTATTGGATACCATGAGTTTCCAACCCCTCTCCCCAACAGCCACAGATTTTAGGGGTAGCCATTACATTCCTAATTTCTAAACACTGGGGACAATTTAATTGTCACCAAGTCAGCAGGTGATCTAGTACAAAGTCCAAATACCTTTCAGCCCTAAAGAAGCCTTAAGGGAGTAATATATTCAATTAATTAATAATGTACACATCTTCTCCATTTCTTACACATAGCGGATTTATGGCGGTGTAAGGTACTGGATATGGCCTTTCCAGAGCCAAGGCTAGAAACCATTTTCTAATTGGCGCATACTCGCCCTCCCTCAATTCGACGTCGTAATATGGTGACAGCGATCCCCCAAACAGACAGAATGGCATGGAAGTGATGAATGCAGAGAAACGAGATTTATACACTGAAAGAAAAGGCAAGTTTCGACAGTGAAAGAACACATTTAAGTGCTGGCATCACTGGCTGCCAGGTTGGACTTGCTAGGAAAGAGGTGAAAGAACCATAATGGGCAGAAGTATAAAATCGACAAAACCCATTTTACATACAACCGGCGAGAGCAAGAAATCGCCACATCAGCCTTGTTCCTCTGAAACATGCTTCCACACTGAAAGCACTCATGGGGAGGAGGGGCCTCTGTGTTTGGGCACTTTTCCTCCTTTCTTACCTGTTTCTCACAGCGGCTCCCCATTATTATTTTAACAGGTGCTTCTTTATGAAAAACTGTGGCCACAATGCCAAAAAAAAAGAAGAAAAAAGTAAAAGGTGTGTACCCTAACGACCCCCCAAAAAAGCATTTCAACATACTGTATCCCCACATTGAGCCTCCAAAACCATCCTTCCTCTTATCAAACCTGATGAGTTAACTTGTTTAAGAAGTTTTATGAAGCGTCGTTAAAAGGTTTTCAGAACAACTTCATCAATGTGTCTTTCTTCCTTTCTCTGAAAGACTGCTCAAACCCTTGTGGTCCAGCGAAGCAGCTTACAGAAGGTTTGCATTTGTGAAAAGGCAACAGTCTGCTGTATTGTTGTGAAGGACTCGGCCCTGGAGTCCTCTGTTCTTTCAACGTTTCATTTCCAGCCCTTTCCCTTGTCCGATACAACAACCGTGCTCTTCGTACGCGTTCCTCGTCCTTGCGTCAAAGATCAGTGTTCCAAAAATTACAGAAGCATTATAATTCCTCCACGATCTCTAAGGTGCAAAGTGACATCGATGTGAGATGACGGGATATTGCAAAGGTCAGGTGGTCTTGTTCATTGACGACTACTTCACGAAGAAAAAAAAAACGTGTTAACTTGAAGTCTGTGCTTCCGTAATGTTTCATTTAATTTTCTTGGCATTTCCAAGAAAAATGCAGCAAAATGTGTGAAAGAAATCACAAGCTGTCAGTCATTGTAGGATCTTTCTTACCTCTATGCAACTCAAGACGTGTAGAAAGATTGACAAGTGCATCAGTACATATTTTTCAAACATGGCAGTATTTGCTGTAATTCTGTTTTATAAGCAGCTTTAAATAGTATGCAACCTTTTTATGCCCATTAACCTGTTTGTTGTTTTTTCCACCATTAAGCATGACCATTATACTGGTAGTAAATAGCAGCCGCAAAACTGTTATAGTGCGATTCTGGAGAGAAAAGAGTATGTAGGAGAGATTTTTGTCTTGCTGTATTTAAGCCTCCTTTATAGTTTTAAACTGGAGTTAACAGCTCCAAGTACGTTGCTGGATGGTATAAGAATATAATTATTTGACACATTTGGTACCATACAATAAATAAAGAACAAAAATTATCAAAATAAGCAGTTTTTAAAAATTCTTAATTAAAATCTTTTTTTTTTCATTTTCTATCAAAGAGCTGTAAACGTAAAAAGACAAAAATAGGCAGTCATGATTTTAGTTTACGTCTTCAACTGGAAATACTCTGTATTTACACAAAATACATACATCATGAAGCTCTCAGCAAAGAAACCAAAAATCATGGCAATAATCGTGATACCCTCTTTTGGAGACTGAAGAATGCAGAAGTTAAGATTTGTTTCCCTCTCTATTAAATATTCACATCACAGGCACACTGACACATTCATACGAATAAGGAAAAGCAAGAAATCACAGTGGTAAACTGGTTATAATAGAAGCAGCAGTGCAGCATCTCAGCCTTTTTTTAGCATGTTCTGAACAATACTACATCTTGAGCACTCAATAATGAACCACCACTGGATTTCTCACTTTTCACTCCAAAATATGAAGCTATACCATATAAGAAACATAGCTTTGCTGATCTATGACAGGGGTCTACAATTCTTGTACCGGAGGGAGTGTGTCTGTTTTCTTAGCCTCTTTAAAAGCACCAACACCTGAAAGTTTGAGATAAGTTTTTTAATTGTCCCAATTAAGGCAACAATGAGCTGGGTTGTGACATTAAAAGCAGAGTTAGAATGAATAACTGCAGACACAATCATACAAGCCTAGGATTGAAGACCCCTGATCTATGGGATATTAAAGCACATCTCCTTAAAAATAATTCTAACACGGCATGTACAGTATATACATACAGTATATGCAGACACAAACTCACTGGTGGTGCTTGGAAATCATGAATATTGTGCATCATGGTAAAATGAAACTTGGTACACATCCAATTTGGACCATGGGGACCATGAGCTCAATTTATACAACAGTGGGAGCTATATCAGCTGTATAAATGTGATCACAATCTGATCACTTGGGAAAATGTCCACTGTGATGTTATTTGTGTGTGAACAATTTTCACAATACTGTTGTTCGAGCAGGCCAAAAGCACCCTGTGCATATATAAGTATGTATACATAAACTAAACATTAAAGAAATTATAAATAGTGCACTTCAGATGAGACACTGAAGCTGCTATAAAATACTATTTCCCCCTTTTTAAAATGAAAACATTTAAACCTACAACCAAACAGTGCCAACAGTGTCTAATTCAGACAGGACGTGCTACCTGCAGTGAAGTGAAATGACTGGCTCTTGCACTCATTCTTTATATGCTAAAGCTCTTCAAATACAGTATTTCAATAGTGCTGTCACAAGATCTTCTGTAATACTGAACGAGTTGCCTCAGTTCCACAGGCAGCTGCTGGATTGGCAGCACCAATGCCACGTCGTAGCTCTATCTCGTCAGCTGTCAGGAGCTAAGACTGGTTGGACATGGTCAGTTTGATTGGGAGACTAAGGAAAAGCAGGTTGCTGCTATAAGTACAGTGGCAGACGGACAAGCAGCTCCCACTGTTCTCTCTGGAGCAGAAGCCCATGTCTCAGTACAGCGACAGGGAACAATGTGCTATCAGAGCTGCCATCTTTTGGATAAGACCTTAACCTAAGGTCCCGACTTCGTGGTTCATAAACTGCTCATGAGAGAGGAGTGTCACTCTTTGTGTCCTGTTGTCCTAAACGTGCACCTCAATATTAAGAAATTAATTTCTCACTTTCTCCATCTGCTCTGCCTAGTAATAGACCTACTGGAGGTTCACAGCTCCTGTGTCCCAGCGAGACAGGTGCTACGCCTCAGTAGCAGTCTTCTACACATCAGTTTTTTTTTTCTTTTTTTCTTCACCTAGCCATTCAATTTGGAGCCGGAAATTGTGAGGTTAAGCCGCTTTAACTGAGACGAACTTCGTACCACATGGGTGACTACGCAAAGATTGCTTACGAAGAGTCACCGGGTTGGGCCATGCGTCATGTCATGTGCTGCGAGCTCCAAAGGAGACCTCCTGATTGGCATCTCTTGCTAGCAACACTGCAAGCTGGAGGGAGCCTCAAAACTCCCCAGGCTCTCCATTCATCAGAGAGGACACCCCGACTGCTGAATGGGCAGCACTCAGCCAGGTGTTGCACTGCACTGTGGGAAGTCCTCTTCATGGCCATTTTAATGGCTCAGTCCAGACTTCAACCAGCGATGACCAAACTTAATCTGCTCTCCGGACAAGCCTGTTTAGCTTCTTGAGCCACCTGGAATAATTTAATTTAGTTTAACAGAGGAAAAAACGAAGAGAATTTGTTTTTTAATGCAGAGTTAGTATGTCTTTTGGAAGCACTCTAAGCGAAGGCTTAGATAGATTTTATTTTTACTGTGTGCGACGCAAAGGTGCAGTGTTAAAATGAAAAGAACTTTTCCTTGCAAGCAATCAGTTTCTGAAAAGCAATGAATTTAGGCTGAAACATAAGGATAGCACTACCAAAAGCCTAGTGAAGCAGCAGCAGCAAAGAAGCTTGGTTTCCACAGGCAGAGGGCACCTAGGTCTGAAATAACCAATGATCAGCACAACATTTTGTTTTGTAAACTGAAATTAAATTCCTATTGGTGACAGCGACCTGTTTCAACAATCGAATTCAGAGCTAGAAAATGAAAAAAACAAAGGAGAAAAAACAAATTACAATAATAATAAGTTTATTTAAGAGCACTTTTCTAACAATGCAAAATTATAATACAATCTAGTTTTGGATAAATCCCAGAACTAATTATTTTACTGCACACTCAGCTGTAAAGGAATGGAGGTACAGACGTGTTGCAACAATGAACTGTGCTGTCAGGCTAGCCTGCATTCTTTTATAAAAACATTTAATATTACACTTCTAAATGAGTTCTAAATTCTAAATTAAACTTTCAAATCGATGTCTGTAACCAGGGATGTTCATTCTAGTCTGAAAACCAAGCTGGTCTTCAAATGCTAAAAGCCAAATAGACACTGGAACACATTAACCAGCTACCCACTTCACCTGCACACATGAATGGAAAGCAATTTCAAGCCAGACAGGTCTGTCAAGTAACAAGGCAGTTAATTAAAAGTGAGAGAGGGCAAGAGAACAACTGTGCACCTGTGGAATGTGGATAAAAAATCTCCCTTCATGGGGTGGTATGGCCTAAATTAACAAGAATCCTGTCTAAATCTTAACCAGAACGCACACACTCATATTTGTGTTCAGCTGAGCTTAATAAAGGCTTCTGCTCAATAATGAACACAGCTTTCCTCTCTGGGAGATGAGACTTTATACATGCCTCTTTAATCAGAAGCCTGCCCTCTTATTGTTAACATGCCTCGACATCCCTGCTTTCTTAACGAGCTGACAGTTCAGACAAGAAGCTGCGCTGTAAATGGAGAAGACCTTGTGCCAATTTCTCTGGAGCCAACGGGGCTCCTTGTGTTCCAGAATGCCCTTTAACCCCAGGCGTGCGAAATACTGACATCTGGGGTGAGTGAGGGTGTATCAGCTTTTTGAAAGCACTTCTTTTCATCAGCATTCGACAGGACTCTCTCAAGACCCTTCCTTGACCTCACTCTGCCTCTCTCGTCTTACTTTCGCCTTTTCTCCTGAACTGCTGAACAAGGTTGTTTTAACTAGAATTCCACATACAGTAAATTATCAAGGTGCCCTTTCTCCTGAATGGCGTCTTTTCAAATTTCATTTTTTAAACGGCTAAAACGAGGTAATACTAAGTGAGACGCAAATTATGGAGGCAAATCTGCGATTTGACATCACCGTTTTTCTTGTTTATTATTTTTCTCGGGATATGTGATGAAAGCAATTTTCAGTCCTAGATCCCTCTGGCCATGTGATTTGTAGCCCGAACTAATTATTAGGCTGCGTGAAAACAAGCAATTTGTATTGCCAATTCTGGATGACGACAACAACAACAACAAATAACTGCCGTTATGAACATCGCCACATGCACTTTTTCATTTTTCCCAGCTGGAACAGAAATAAAAAAAAGGAATCATGGGGAGGATAGCTGGGATACAGGAGCGTAACGGTTACAGGAAAAACAGCAGAGAAGCAAAGCAGGATGACTTTCTATCTACCAGCTATTCAGAAATTCTCCACTTGGGAAGTGAAGTAAACCTTGGGACCAGAGTCTCTGGCTGTTAATAAAACACCTGCTGTAGTTCTTTCAGCGGTTTTTTGTACGTATAATTCTGGCATCAGCTGGGATGCTCTAGGTGGCCCTATGAATTCTCAGTTTTTTGTACAGCATTTTCCATACCTGCCAAAAGTCAGACTGAAACCCTTCTGGGTCATGAGGCATGAGCAGTGTATGCGTCATTGTCACAACTTGAGACGTGTTTTGAGGCAAAACCCTTGAGAAACACCTACTGTAGGTTGGTTGGTCACTTTACATACACATTGCTCTTTACTGGCTTTGACAGAAATTCGGCAAAGAGGGATTCAAGGCAGAAGACAAACCCTGTGGAAAGCAAACGGTTTTAACTGTGAAAAGTTTAGTAGCGCTCTTTGCCTTATACAATTTGGGGTGGTGCAGAGCTGCGCATTTATGATGTATCTTTTCTAAATCTAAGAATACGAGAACATGAGACATAATGATAACATCTACTATGCTACTCTGCAATCCTCTGGGACCGAACCCATTGATCATATAAGGGCCCTGGGCTTAAAAAATCGTATTTTTACAACTCGGAAAACTGCAATATCTGCCTTGAGTCACCAACACTGAGACTGCACTGAATAATTCATGCAACTCAGCTAAGCAGCCCACAGTAGGAGTTGTGCATATGCATCTGACAGTGGTCCAATCATTTTCTTAAATATACATCACTAATTTCCAATATACACATGAAAATGGCCAAATCACAGTCAGAGATATAAATACATACAACTCCCACAGCAAATTCCAACTGTGTAGTTTATATATAATAAAATGATTGGACCACTGTTAGATAAATACATACATATTCTGATACATACAAATATATATATATACGGTACACACACACTTGCACACTCAAACAAACACACATACATGCAATATGGAAAGAATCTGAAAAGGACCACAGTTTTCTTTAAAATAGAAAAGTAAAGAATTCACTTGCTCTAATTCTCACCTACAATTCTTAATCTACAAGGAACAAGTATTCCGTGTATCTCTGAAATAACTCTCTTACTCATTTGCTTGCCTAAAACGTGAGGACACAATTTGTTTAGAAGAGCAAACTGTAACGAGGGGCACTTTCCAGGCAGTGCAGTGGAGCCTGCACATAGCATTCTGGGATACCAGTACCTCCGGGACACTTCCTCTGGCGCACTTTGACTGGTGTTGTAGGGGAGCAGTGCTAGTCGAAAACAAAAAGGTGCTTGGCTTCTTCATTTTTGTGTAAAGTAGGCTCCAACGGTCAGGCCTGCTGCGCCCAGAGCAGCTAGACCAAAGAAAGTCTTCAAAGATGGCCATGAACAGCTGAACATGGAGCCTCTCTGTCTCCCATAGAGCTCCACAAAGGCGTCCTGAAAGAGAAACCAAAAACCAGTAAGTGAGGGTGGCCACAGAAAGGCTATCTGCTATCCTATTTAAAATTCAGATAGATACTATAGTTCTATAAGACTTAATTTACCACTTCTGCTTTCAACTGGTTAGCAAATATAGTGTGACAGTTGAATGGAAAACAGAAATGAGGTTAGTAGTGGTCAGACACTGTAAGTCAGATTCTTTGACGAGTCATTTATTCCAATGTTCAACATAAAGAGGTTCAGCATATCAAATTGATTAACTAGTCCAAGAACTGAGGAAATGAATTGACTTTACTAAAAATAAACACTTATGAGCTTTACTTATCAATCATATTCATCGAGTTCATAATGAAAATCCCAGTTTAGATATCAATGTCCCATTACTTTTGAAGGAAATCTGTCCAATTCACTACTGTAGATTGTTCAAGATAGATCAGAAGATTAGGAAATAAAACAACAGGAAAAAAAACATAAAAAAGGTTCATTGAAAGGTTCTGAAGATTACTGTATTTAAATCTCTTAAATGTAACAGACCATCATTCTTCATATGTTAGTTAAGTGAAAACAGTGTACGTTACAAGGAAAAACAAAATATTAGTCCCACCAAAACAAAATTCCTCTTGAGAGCACATAAACGGTTTAGTTTCAAAGCCACACCAATCTAATACAACAGAGAACTGTGGGAAACCACAGGATTGCAATGTGGATATACTGTATGTCCTAGTTTTCTGTGTAAGTCACACTTGGAAAAATTTAACAACTTTTTCAGGAAGTGGATACCAGCCAAAGTTAGGGAAAAACACTATGCAAATCTAACTCCTGAACCATTTAATACAAGCCCACTTTAAGGAACTGAGCCTTCAGCTCAGTACCTTTGTAATGCTCCTGCATTACCAGAAATGGGCTTTCTGGTTCTGCCAGTCTGGGATTAGTCTACCGACTGCCTTGTGGCAATGAGACTGTAATTCTGAAGAGGTTTAGATGTGGTCAGACGGATTCAAAAAGCCTTTCTACGCTTTGAAGTAGGCGTACTTGGTTAAGTCAGACATATTTCGGATGTCTTTTGTAGATGTACTGTATATGTCTGCAAGATTTGACCAGATCTTTAAAGATACGTTTATGAGTATAAATCCTTTAGCTACAGTCCAGTCCAGCACTCACTGAAGGAAGATAAAAAGGCAGAGCCATTTAAACGGGTTAAACTTTCGATCGCCAAGACAGAAACGGGTAAGAAAAAGGGTCCAAGAATTAAACGGGGAGATGTCTGAGGTCTCTTCCAAGTTCTCCCACTTCTAAAAGGGATGTTCCACACACAACACATGGAACCCATGCATCACTAAAGCATTATTCTGTTTTTACTTTTCCTTCCAGTTCTTTTCTTCTGACCATAAGAAAGAGACAGATCTTCTGAAGCTTCAAATTTAAGTTAAAGTGTTTTTATATGATGTTCTTCAGGAGGAAGGATGTGCTTCGTTTTTAACTTCCAAGAACAATATTAAATTAAAAGTTTATTTGTAAGCGTTCTGTAAACAAATAATCGAGACAAATCACCTTTTTATGGGATGCCTTGCAACAGCAAATGGCAGAAGAGAGGAACTTGGAGATTCCCCTGTTGTTTCACTACAAGCCTACAGACAAACCATGAAGACTTGCTCAGCATTGCACATCACAAATTTGCTTTGAAATGAAATGATTTAGTTGTTTTTGCTCACAAAGTCTCCAGCTCCCAACACCACAACTTATCACTATACTCCCCTATCAGCAGTGCCACGTGCACCTGGTGCCACAGAACTAAAATTGATTTGCTCATGAATGGCACTGGCATGTACTGTAGGCCCATGAACCCTGAAGGCTATCTTCAGCAGCAGAAATACACGGTGAAGGCATTATCTGCTGTTAAGGGCAGAAGAAAAACAAGAGGTGTGAATGGGAAAATTAACATTTCTACAGTTAATTGAAATGGGAATGTACCTAATAGCAGTGATTGTCAAATTTGGCTACTGGGGAGCCCATATCTAGCTGACACGATACATAATTAAACTGTCGTGTTTTTAATTACGGCAGTACTTGCATGTGAGAGAAATCACTGAATTTACTGACGCACACAGGGAGATATACAGGTGAAGTCCACACACTAATGCAAAGCCACAGCTGGTTCAATACCAAGAATCTTTTACCAATGTTTTGACTGGTAAAAGTTGAAGAAGGCAGGTCACGCTTAAGAAAGCAGAAGAGAATAAAGCGGACAACAATATTGCCTTACTCAAGTCAAATCCTAAAATATTCCTCCCGATTCAAAGCAGTCACAGAACTTTGACTCGCTCAAATTTCAGATTTTTCCGTAAAAAATAGTTTTCTGAACATGGTACTGATTTTTCATCTGGGGGATATGGTGACATTTTTACAAACCTCTGCTTAATGTGAAGTGAATGCCCCGCTCGTGATTCATTTAATAGATTATATGCCGTTCCGTGAATATCTGAGGCCATCTACGTAGTTTAGTGTAGTCCCTACAAAGGCACACAATCACATGACTGTGCCTGAATAGAGACATCTATTTACAATAGAAATATGGCCTGTTGATTCCTCATCACCATTCTGGCTTATCAGGAATATCACAGGATGATTTACACACATGCCACCTGGCTGCTCCAAACACAGACAGCTCTCTGACTGGAGGAAGGAAAATAAACATCAGGTCTGCTTTCCTCAGGAGACTTCTGGTTAATGTATGATTAAAGTGGAAATGACAGGGCTGTTTAAAGTGTTGATAAGTTAGTATCTAATGCATGTTTTCTTTTCACCTTTGCAAACATCCTGATTAGAGCCACTTCCGCACTACAGTATGTTTAAACAGACTGTAACTATTTGCAGAGGCCTACAGTAATGGCTCCAATAAACACAAGAGTGGGGAGAGAGGAAGGGCACTGTTTCACACTGTTGGCCAGTTTAATAAACATGTCCAGGATTATCTTCCATTACATCAATTAAAAGAAAAGGAAGACCTTGGATTTAAGCAGTCATTTAGCAGATGCCAGCTATGATTCAGCAGGTCTAATTGGTCATTTTTTAGTCATCTGTTTACAGCTGGGAACAATGTTTACACGTTGATCAATTAATTGGGTCAACTAGTATAAGTAAGGCTGAACCACTTTTTTGGATAAATCACTCATTCCCTGTGTTTAGAAGACTCGCTCTTGTGTTTAGAAGTAGTGAGTTAAAGATGATCTATAAAACCTGCTTTTAAATTTACAAAGATGCATTACTGTTCTGTTTATGCTGCTCTAAAGTACCTTACAAGGGGATATTGGCTTAACATCTCAGCTGAAAGACACATTCTGAGACGTTTAAGGAACTTTTAAGGGAAACATTCACTGAAAAGGTAGAAAAGCAGGATTTTAAACCAGAAACCTCAGGGTAAAAAGACATTTTCCATAACCAGAGGACAACAGTCTCCTATACAATGTGGTGTGCCAAAATGTATATAAAAACTAAACAAATATTTTACACACCTCTCATTTGCATTGTTGTATTATACATTTTCTTTTTCATTTTTTCCTGGTAGCTGAACAGAGGCTGAAGAGGTTGGAGCAGAGAGGTTTAGTATTACTGTGTTTCTTTAGAAACAGTACTTATGACAACTAAGGGAAAGGGGACTACTAAGTATATTGGTTAGTTTTGCTCACTGTTACTACAGTATATCAGACCTATAAAATAGATCTAGCCTTTGCAATGCCTCATAATTATTTTTACTGAAACAAAACCGATATGGGTAAAATTGGACAAATTTACAGTGCCTTCAGATAGTATTCTTTTTCCACACTTTGTTGTGTTGTAGACTTAGTATTTTAAAATGGATTGAATCGATTCCTTTTTGGGCCATCAATGAACACACCATTCCCCATAATGACAAAGTGAAACCCCGTTTTTAGGACATTTTGCAAATGTATTAAAAATAAAAAACTGAAATCTCCCACAATCCCTATTTCTGGGCAGACTAACAACGTTTACAAATGGACAGAGTTCACAGAAAAACACAAGTCCAGTAATACACTGATAAACTAATTGGAGACCACTGACCACACTAGAGCACGAAGAAACGAAGACGCCTTCTGCAGGTTTGAAAGCACCGGCTTAATAAACAGTAGCTTCAGCATCCATTTTTCAGAGTTATTGAAACAGTCCACGCCAGCCTGTTATGTGAACTATTGGCTGCAATGATGCAATGGAACTAAATGATGGCAATGTGGGGAACATGATCTCCACAGCCCTTTCCTCTCCTCTGGAAATGAAGACGCCTGACAACAGAAAGCGATGTTGAGACGAACCACTCACATAGCCCAACACAATCCTACATCCTCTTTTTCTGATGTGTTCATTCAACACGCAGCCTGTTCTAAAGTTAACCCAGCAAAGCACTGAGGGCTTCCCTTTTTTCTCTCTCAAACAGTCCTATCTATAGCTCGTCTGTGAGCTTGGGCTGGCTACTACTGTGAAAAAATAAAATTGACCTATGAATGGTGATCTCAGCTGCAGTAACAGCATCAAATGATTTCTCTGTTTCTTGTCTAATACGCCACACTCTCTGCAATGGCATCTCTAACCACAAACTCTTTCCTGTGCCAATGGGCCTTGGGCCAGGAGATGACTTAAGAATCAGAATTAATGAAGTTCCTCTTCCTACTGCTCTGCCATTCATCCGAGATTCCAGTGCTGCCGTTGAAGGTAAACTCTAAGCTGACTGAAACGATCAAGCCATGCAGATGACATCACAGGTCCAAATGCAGTCTATGATTTTCATGATGCGGTATCTGAAATGTAACGTCAAAACTCTGCTTATACATGGTGTTGCATTGTTTACAGAACGTTATTATTTGAATTGGTGCTGCAGGAAAATCATGTTATCCTAATAGAAGCGGTAATGGAATAACTGTGTCGCATTCTCCAGGAGAGCAAATCATTTTCCATCTTTTGCTCCCCATGTCAGGGCGGTATAC